CCCTCCCTTCTCCTCTCTCTAAAAATAAATAAATAAAACCTTTAAAAATTAAAAATAAAAAAATAAAATCTTTTAAAAAATGTTCAGTAAATGTTAGCTATTATCATTTGTCAAAAAGATCCTACTACTAGACTTGAGCCTTCTGTAGCTTCCCTTGCCACCTCTGTCCACACCCAGTAATCTACTTTATTGTCCAACTATGGGATCAGAGTTCCTTCAGAATGGAAGGAAGAACAAGCCATAAACGTCTAACCAACAAATAAGCAGAAATAAGGAGACAAGGAGAAGGAAAGAGGCCACATACACAGAACTTCTGGTTATGTACAATGGCTCAAGCATAAAAATAGATCTGGACTCTCGATGGCCACGCTTGAAGGGACGTACAATAGCTCAAGCATAAAAATAGATCTGGACTCTCGATGGCCACACTTGAAGGGACAAAACAAAGGGCGTGCCTTCAAACTGCTGAGGGAAAATTCTATTCCTAGACAAACTCCAAGTATGGAACAAAAACTTCGTAGGCATTTGAGGCTTTAAAGAATGTGAGACATTCTAAGAAACAGGGCAAATTATTACAGCAGTTCCTCAATAGATGTTAAATAGCACTGAGCCAGGTAAAGTCACTGAATGTGACTAAGTGTTTCATACCACAAATCCATGCTGAGTGTCTACTAAGTGTTGGTTTAACAGTGACTGGAATAGGTAATCAATAGACATGCATTGATTCCCTCATGGAGCTAACATTCTAGTGGGGGACAGATAAGTAATAAACAACTACAGAAGGAAGACTGAGTCAGAGAGTGATGAGTGCCACAGATAAAGAGAAACCAGGGCCTAGAACCCCAACTTCCAGTATACGGGAACTGCAGCAGATAGGAGAACGAACTAAATGACACCACCTGGACACAATCAGATAAACCTAGAATGTTGGATATCTACAAGAACACAGGCCTGAAATTCTTAAAAGGTAGTCCAAGTTATTAGAACAAAATAAGAGATTAATGTAGATTAAAAAGAGTTAACAATCATATTCCAAAATGTGAGCCCCGACTGGATCCTGGGCCCAGGAAGAAAACTTATAAAAGATGTTTTGGGAACAAGGAAGGATATTTGAATATAGACTGAATATTAGATGACATAAGGAATTATTCTTAATTATAACTTATTAAATTATAATGTAAAAATATATTAATTCTTTAAAATTAAATTTATTTCGGTATTATGGATATGTAGGAGAATATATTCTGCGCTGACTGATGTGGCTCACTGGATTGAGCACTGGCCTTTGAAATGAAAGGTTGCCAGTTCGATTCCCAGTCAGGGCCCACGCGTTGGTTGTAGGCCAGGTTCTTAGTTGGGGGTGTGCAAGAGGCAACCACGTATCTCTCCCACATTGCTGTTTTTGTCCCTCTGTTTCTCCCTCCCTTCCCCTCTCTCTCTAAGGAAAAAAAAGAAAGGAATATATTCTTAGGAGATATGTGCTGAAGTATATAGAGGTAAAACAAATAGAGCAAACTGTTATCAACTGTTGAATCAAGGTAAAGAATGTTTAGTTGTTCATTGCTCTAATCTTTCAACTTTTCTGTATATATTAAAATGTCCAACGTAAAAACTTAGATAAAAAGGAATATAGGAGAACACTTAGAAAAAGTAAACATGACAACTATTTGGAGGCATTCTGCTGTAAAGAGGGGGTATTAGTTCCCTAGAGCTGCTTAATAAATTACCACCAACTGGGTGGCTTAAAAGAAAAAAAAAATTATTTTCTTATAGTTCTGGAGTACAGAATTCCAAAATCAAGGTATCATCAGAGGTCACACTCCCTACGGAGGCTCTAGTGAAGAATCCATTCTGTTGCCTGTCCAACATCTGATGACTATCAACATTCCTAGACTTGTGGCTGTGTCACTCCTCTCTCTCTCTCTCTGGGGCCACATTGCCTCCTCCTCTTCTACGTGTGTGACCTCCTTCTGTCTCCCTCATATAAAGACACTTGTGATGGCATTTGGGGCTCATCCAGATTATCCAGAATAAGCTCCGCCTCTCAAGATCTTTCATTTGATCACATCTTTTGCTATGTAAGGTAATTTTCACAGGTTCCTGGGATTAGAAAGTGAATATATCTTTTGGGGGCCACTTTTGCACCTGCAACAGAAAATAGGGTGGCATGTAGAGGGGAATGTGGGGTCAGGAGAGGTTTTGAGTTTTTTTTAAGATGAGCAAAGTTACAGCATGTACATAGTAACATTTAGTAGAGCTTGTGGTACACTGTAATAGAGGTGTTTGTTCCTTGTGTTAGCCACTTTCACACAGGAAAATTCGTAAAGAAAATAGCAAGTTATCCCCAAAGTGAAAATTAGGGTTGCTCTTTGAGAATTAAATTAAGAATAATCGAGATGAAAACAACAATAATACAAATAATTGAGACCACTTCAAATCAGGTATGAGCAATGTAAATCTGATGTGGAGGGGAGGTGAATCTGTGGGAATGGTGATCATTGTGAAGTGACTGAAAGTGGAGCCCAGCAATTATTCTAGAAATAATTAGAGGGAAGGTCAATGAGGATTGGCTTGGTCCCAGCATACAGGCCCTGTGAGAGGCCTGAACCATTAGATTATAAAACTGGCTACATGGGAAAGGAAGGTAAGAAATAGTGAAGAGAATAACTTTAAAACCCAATATGCATAATCACTCTTATAAGATATGGCTTCTTACTTTTTTTTTTCCCCACTTCATTATTTTCTTACCTCTTCTCTTACTTCTGTTACTTTTAGGATCCTCTTCCAGAAGTTTTATTTGCTTGCCCCAGCCTGCATCTTCCTCCACAACTTTATCTATCCTTTATCATGGTGCAATTTTCTATTTTTCTCACTATACAAACCAAATCCTTCTAGCCCATCCTAAATCTATTTCTCAAACATTTCTCTAAAAACTCCTTGGTCACAGCTCTCCTGCAAGAAACTGATACTCAATTTTCCTTTACCTATCAACATTATCAAATCTTTTCTTTTTCCTCAAAATGTTCCCATCTCCCTCTTTATCACTCTTCTGTTTCCTTTGGTCCTGGTCTCTGCCTTCACTCCCTGTAGCTCTTCATTCCCATTGTCTTCTTTTAGGCGTATATGCTCTCTTTTCCTTTCTCATATTTACCCCTTCAGCGTCCATAATGTTCTGCTTGGCTCTAGTTTCCCCTCTTTGACTTGCAATACTTCCTCTCTGTGCTTCTCTTTCCTTCTTTAGCTTCAATCCTTAATCTGCCTTATTGACTAGTACCTTCATCTATACCCTCTTTCTCTTCCATAGAAACAGACTCATAGGTAATATCATTCACTCCGCTGAAGACATCCTCCTCAACTTCCACCCCTTCCTCAGTCCCCTCTAGTTCTTGATCATTCCTTTCCTCCCTTTCAAAAGGAATTTCCATCTCAGCACCAGTAACTTCTATTACTCTGTCATCATCACTAGTAACTTCTACCAATCTTTCAATTTTCTCTTCATTTATGCTCCCCATTTTTGAACTCTTCAACTTCTCTCCACTAGTCCCCAGCTTCTCCCTACTGGATCCCAGCTTCTCTGCACTTGACCGCAGTTTATCTCCAGTGAATCTCAAATCCTCTCCACTAGTACCCAGCATCTGTCCCTCGGATCTCTGCTTCTCTCCCCTGAACACCAGTCTTTCTCTACTTGACCTCAGCTCCCCTCCACTCAACCTCATCTTCTCTCTGCTTGAACTCAGCTTCTCTCCGTTTGAACCCAGCTTCTCTCCGCTTGACTTCAGCTTCTCTCCACTTGAACTCAGCTTCTCTTCGCTTGAACTCAGCTTCTCTCTGCTTAAATTCAGCTTGTCTCTACTTGACTTCAGCGCCTCTCCCCTCGGCTTCTCTTCAATCAGCTTCTCACCACTTGACCTCAGTTTCTCTCCACTCGCGCTCAGCTCTTCCTCATTGTGCCCTAGTTTATATCCTCTGGATCTCATGTCCTCTCCACTGGTCCCCACCCCAGTAAACCTCAAAGTCTCTTTAAATCCAGACTCCCTCCTAGACCCTGTTGTAGTCCCTGCACCCTCAGTTTCAACCCCTGTTTTGGGGCTGACTTCTTGCTTTCCCCACATTCCCTTTGGGTTTTCTTTCCCCAAACCTGCTGAAGCCTGTAGTGCACTTGCTACACTGTGCAGTAGCTTCACATTCTTTCTTTCCTGACTCAGGCCTGACTTCTCTTTCAAGACCGCCTTTTCCGCATTTTCCAGTCCCCAGGACTCAGGCTCAAGCTTCAGATCCCACATCCTAGGCTTTTGGGAATTCCTACTCAGGAGCGCCATTCTCTTCCCAATCACGATGAGCCCGTTACAAGGCATCCACATTCTTTCTCGCAGCGTCTGTGTCCCTCTGCTTCCCGGCTCCAGTTTGAACCACCCATGGGCCCGGGCCTGGCCTTGGACGCCCGGGCCCCAGACATTATCGCGCCCCCTTCTGTGCGGCTTACACCGTGGCTCCCTCCTGTCCCTGAGCGGAAATCCAAACGGAACCCTTTTCTCCACAGACATTAGCCCTTGCCCTCGTTCGCAGTCCATCACTTCCTCGCCTGGTCCCCATTACCTCCCTGCCCTCCCACCCCCAAGCCGGCCCCCCGGCCCCCCAGCCCCCCGACCCCCCAGCCCCCCGACCCCCCGGCCCGCCGCACGGCCCCGCCCACCGCCTGGGAGAGCGAGACTGGGCTAGTGCGCACGCGCAAACCGCGCGAGACCGTTGGAGGGCGAGGCCCCAAGCGGCTGCGGGCGGGAGGCCGCCGGCCCGGGCGCGGGGCTGATGCGGCGGCAGATCTCTGAGGCCTCAGGGCTGCCACTGCCAGCGCCCACGCTGTATCTTGTTCCCGGCCCTCTCAGTTCCCCAATCCCCTTAAAAGCTGGCTCCAGACACAGGAACAACAGACGTTGCAGCCAATGGCTTCGCGCACGATAAATCTGGTACCCAATCAAAAGGCGAGGCTGCGAGGGACCGGGATGGGGACCGCGCCCCACTCCAGGTGACTCCAGGGCAGGGAGGGAAGAATGTCTCCGTCAACTGACAGGATCTCCACTTGGTCCGTCCCTCGGGGGTGAGTAATCAGGGACCAAGCTACGGGAGCGCGCGGGCAGTGGCCGGCCACGGAATCCTTGTGTGCTGCAGCCGAGGAGTGGTGGGGGAGCATCAAGAGGCTGGGAAGGAGAGCAAGGTAAAGGAAGGATGCACACCCCTCCCAATCTCCACCTCATTCCGTGATACCCAGTGATACCCAGTTTGGGAGGCGGGGCGGGGGGGCGGCAGGAGGAGGGGAGTGCGCGCCCGCGCGCGTTTGAGCACAAGCGTGAGCAACAGAGTGGGGCGCTTCTGTGGCAACCGCACGGGGACTGGTGAGGATGCCAAAGGAAGCAGGGTTTTACCTTTGCTTTTACAGATAGAAAGTGATCCATCACTGTCAGTCCTCACCGCCCCAGGGTGGACTCCCGCTGGCTTGACGGAGAAGAGGAGGGAGGGGTGTTAGGGATTGAGAAGGGGCTGGAGTCCCTTCTTTCCCAAGGCGGGGGCCCTGTTCAGCACCAATGGCTTTCTTTTTGTATCTGTGTTCATATAATCATAAGACCATTCGGTCTTTATTCTTTCCTCTTGACTTCAACAAATAGTTATTGAGCAACTTTCCGCCAAGGATGCACGCAAGGTGCATATTTTGGGGCTCGGAGGCATGTACATAGTTAGCTATGGCTAAGGAGTAAGGATGGAGTAGCTGTGGTTCTTCCTTGATGTCCCATCTTCCTCACGCAGTACCAGCTCAGAGCAGAGATAATAAGGCAGCAAGAAGGAAACAGGCAACTTGGGAACCTACTGCACAAATGAGCTAGATTGTGCGTTGTGGGGTGGGGGAGGGGGCGGGAGGCAGGGAGTTGGACACAGGAAGTGTCTTCCCTGGAGGTGTCAGAGAAGCCAAGAAATGAGGAATTTGGACAGGGGAGAGGGGCTGAGAGACACAAAGTATGAACAGAAAGTATCTTTTTCAATGTTTACCTATATTCATACTCATGGTTAAATTTATACACACACGTGTGTGTGTGTGTGTGTGTGTGTGTGTGTGTATGTATGCCTGGCATATAGTAAATAGATTTTCTTTAGCTATAGTGTTAGCTATTATATTATTGTTGTTGCTGTTGTTATTATTACTGTTGTCTTACAGAATGTTCTGTGCTCTGAACATGTGCTAGGCTATCAAACTGATAGGTGCACCCCCAACCTTTGAAGGCACCAGACTCTGAAAGCCCACTATTAGACTTTGTCCTCTAGAGTAAGCATTGTTTTCTCTAAGATTCTCCTTTAAATGCAGAGAAAGGAAAGATTAATAAACATATATGTAAGTAAAAATATAATAGAGAAAATGAAATAATATAAAATATTGAATATTTTACTAATCTAACAGAAGAAAAGAAAGAGAGAACAAAGGAACAAAAAAGACATGGAACAAAGAGAAATTAGAAAGCAAGATAACAGGTTTATAGCCTACTATATCAGTAATTACAATACTTATGAATGGACCAAACAGTCCAATTAAAAAACAAACACTTTCTGATTGGATTTTTAAAAAGATTTTATTTACTTTTAGAGAGAGGGGAAGGGAGGAAGAGAAACCTCAATGATTTGTGAGAGAAACCTTGACTGGCTGCCCCTCCCAGGCGCCCCCACTAGGGATGGGACCAATGACCCAGGCCTGTGCCCTGACCAGGAATTGAACTGACAACGCTTTGTTTTGCAGTATGACACCCAACCAACTGAGCCACACTAGTTAGGGCCTAATTGGCTTTTTTAAAGACAACTCTAGTCTGTTAAAAGAGGCATATTTTAAATATAAGGACACAGAAAGATTGGGAAAAAAAGATGGAAAAATATACACCATGAACAAACCAACCAAAAGGAAGCTGGTATTGTTATATTAATTTCAGACTTAGTCTGTAAGACAAGAAGAGTTACTAGAAATAAAAAGAGACATTTTATGATAATAGAGTCAATTCAACAGGAAGATAAAACTGTCCTAAATATATATGTACTTAATAATATAGTTTTAAAATATGCTAAGTAAAAGATTACAGAATTAAAAGGGGAAATAGACAAACTTACACACAGAAGTTTAACACAACTCTTTCAATAAGAGAACAAGCAGACAAAATATTTAGTAAGGATTTAGATTTAAAATAACGATAAATCCTCTTGATCTAATTAATTTATGTAGAGTTATATACCCAGCAACTGCAGAAAATGCATTCTTTACTTTTTTTCTATAAGATTTTATTTATTTACTTTTAGAGAGAGCGGAAGAGAGGGAGAAAAACATCAGTATGCTAGAAATACATTGTCTCTTGCTCACCCCCAATTTGTGGATCTGGCCCACAGCCCAGGCCTGTACCCTGACTGGGAATCTAACCAGTGACCTCTTGGTTCACAGACCAGGGCTCAATCCACTGGCTGGGTACCTCGGTTGGTTGGAGCATTGTCCCAATATGTCAAGGTTGTGGGCTACATCCCTGGTCGGGGTCACAGATGGGAGGCAACCAATCAATGTTTCACTCTCACATTGATGTTTCTCTCTCTCTAAAATCAATAATAAAAAATATCCTTGTGATACAGTAATAATAATAATAATAATAATACCTTATAATGAATAATAATAATACCTTATAAATTCTTCCAGGAATGCAAGGTGGTTTACTATTTGAAAATCAATCAATGAACTTCAGCATATACATAGAATAACAGGAAAATCCATATGATATTTCAATAGAGGCAGAAAAAATTTAATAAAAATCACCACTCTCATCAAACTAGGCATAGAAGAGAACTTCATTATTCTGACAGAGTATCTAAAAACATTGTCAGGATTAAATTTTGAATGCATTCCCTCTGAGATCAGGAACAAGTCAAGGATTTTCTTTCTTTTTTCAGATTTTATTTATTTATTTTTAGAGAGGGGGCGAGGGAGGGAGAGACATCCCTCTAACCCAGTGGGAGGCCTCTCGCACGCCTCTTACTGGGGTCCTGGCCTGCAATCCAGGCACGTGCCCTGACTGGGAGTTGAACCAGGGACCCATTGGTTCACTGTGACCCTGTGGCTCAGTGGATTGAGGCCAGCACTCAATCCACTGAGCCATATCAACCAGGGCAAGGATTTTCTTTATCATCGTATCATCACTTCTGCATTGTACTAGAGGTCCTAGCAAGTGCAACAGGGCAAGAAAAAGAAATAAAATGTATAAAGGTTGGAAAGGAAGAACTAAAACTGTTATTTTATTTTATATATATATATATATTTTTTTTAAAGATCTTATTTATTTACTTTTTAGAGAGAGGGGAAGGTAGGGAGAAAGAGACAGAGAGAAACATTGATGTATGAGAGAAACATTGATGTGTGAGAGAAATATTGATCAGCTGCCTCTCATATGTCCCCAGTTGGAGACCCGACCCACAACCCAGGCATGTGCCCCGACTGGGAATCAAACCAGTGATCTTTTGGTTCACAGGCCAGCACCCAATCCACTGAGCCACACCAGCCACGGCTATATACATGATTTTTTATTTTAACTTTTTATTTTTAGATTTTAGAGAGAGGGGAAAGGGGGGAGGGAGGAAGAGAGGAGGAGAGGGGAGATAGAGAGAAAGAGAGAAACATCAATTTGTTGTTCCATTTATTTATGCATTCATTGGTTTATTCTTGTATGTGCCCTGACCAGGGATTGCACCCACAACCTTGGTGTATTGGGACCAACTGAGCCACCTGGCCAGGGCAAAACTGTCATTCTTTAGATTATGGGATTGTATATGTAAGAAATCCAAAAGAGTTTACTAACTTTTTTTTTTTAAGATTGTATTTATTTATTTTTAGAGAGAGGGGAAGGGAGGGAGAAAGAGAGGCAGAGAAACATCACTGTGTGAGAGATACATTGAACAGTTGTCTCTCACATGCCCCCAACTGGGGATCTGGCCTGCATCCCATGCATGTGCCCTGACTGGGAATCAAACCAGCAACATTTTGGTTCACAGGTCGGCATTCAATCCACTGAGCCACACCAGCCAGGGCTCTACTAACGATTAAAAGTACATAAATTTAGCAAGTTCCTGGACAAAAGGTAAAGAAATTGTGTGTTTCTCTCTACTAGCAACAAACAATTAAAAAATGAAATTTTAAACATTATTTAAAATAGTAACAACAAAATCATTGAATACCTAGGAATAAATATAACAAAAGATGTCCATGCAAAACCTCTACTGAGAAAACTATAAGACATTACTGAGAAAAATTAAGACCTAAATAATTGGAAAGATATTCATGTTCATGGATTAAAGAGTCAATATTGCAAAAATATCTGTCCTTTTCAAATTGATCTCTAATTCAATATAATCTCAGTCAAAATCCCAGCAAGTTTTTTTTGGCCTGGAAATTAACAAGCTGATTATAAAATTAGGTAGAAATGCAAAGCACCTATAATAGCTTAAATGATTTTGAAAAAGAACAAAGCTAATTCTGTCTGACTTCAGGGTTGCCTATCAATTACAGTACTCAAGACAGTGTGATATTATCCAAAATACAGAAATATAGATAAGTGGAACAGAATAGAGAGTACAGAACTGATCACACTTATGAGGTCAATTGATTTTCAACCAAGGTGTGCACCAAAGCAAATCAATAGTAAAAAGACAGTTTTTTAAAAATAGCTCTAAAATAATTGGCGATTCATATGGCAGGAATGAGTCATAACCCAAACCTTATGCTACATAGAAAACAAATTAAAAATCGATCATGGACCTAAATATAAAAGCTAAAACTATTAATTCCTAGAAGAAATAATAGAATATCTTCATGATCTTGGGGTAGGCAAAAGTTTCTTCAAGAGTACACAGAAATCCTTAATCATAAAAGAAAAAACTGATATATTGAACCTGTACAATTATAAACCATCAAGAGAGTAAAAAGGGAACCTCTAGAGTAGGAAATACCAATAACACATATAACTAAGGGCATGTCTCCAGTATATATAAAGAGTTCCTACAAATCAATAACACATTCTGATTTTTAAAAGGAAGGTAGGGGAGGCCCTGACGGGTGGCTCAGTTGGTTGGAGCATCATCCCATACACCAAGAGCCTGCGGGTTCAATCTCCAGTTGGGATGCTTACAGGAAGCAACTGATTGATGTTTCTCTTTCACATCAATGTGTGTGTGTGTGTGTGTGCGTGCGCGCACACATGTGTGTCTTCCCCTCTCTCCCTTCTCTCTAAAATCAATTTTTTTCTTTTTTTTAAATTTATTTTTAAATACATTTGTCTCTGCCTACCCCCTACCACTTTCCCTTGCCTCAGTTTTTTTTCTTTAAAGAAAAAGGAGGGTAGGACAGGAACAAAAGATCTGAATAGGCACTTTACAAAAGAAGATATCTAAATAGCCAATGTGTACATAAAATGGTGTTCAACATCATCCCTTCCCGGAGAATACAAGATAAAGCCACAATGTGACATTACCGCACTGCTACCAGTTACAGCTAAAATGAAAAGGACTAACAGTTCTAAGTATCGGCAAGGACATGGTGCAACTGGAACTTTCATACAATGCTGGCAGGAGCATAAATGCCTACAGTCACCTTGGAAACCTCTTTGGCATTATCTAGGAAAGCATTTTAAACACACACCTACCTTATGGCCAAGCAATTCTCATACACAGCAGAAATAAGTACTTAGGTCCCTCAAAAGACATATGAGAAGGTCCATGGTAGTTTTATTCATAATAGAACTTGAAATAATCCAAGTGACTAAATGTAGAATGGATATATAAGCTATGACATATTCCTATAATGGAATACCACATGGGAATGAAAGAGAACAGCTGCACTCAACAACACAGATGGATCTCACTGAAGAACATGGACACAAAAAGTATATACTGTACAGTTGCATGTATATGAAGTTCCAGACCTATGGTGACAGAAGTCAGAATAGTGGTCCCCATTGTGTGCCAAATGTGTGCCAAAGCCTGTGAGAGGAAAGAGTGAGGCATCTGGGTATGAGATGTGGGCAGTGTCCGTTTACGTGCTAGTGAGCCGTGCTTGAAGGTAAAGTGGCATCTAAGCCGCTTCCCTCCTCCTTAGTATCACTTAGCACAGTGAAGTAGACATATTGTAGTTGGTGTTCAATAAATGCTGGTTGAATAGCGCAGTGGAAGACAGAACTAGTAGCTTGGTGCTTCATGGTTTTCATGTGGAGAAATACACTTGCTTTGCCTATAAGCCAACACCTTCTTGGCACTAAAAGTGAATGGAATGCTCTCAGGATCCCTCAAAAGAAGTGGGGACTTCTCATCCAACTGTACGCCCAGGGAAAGGGTACCTGATGCAACCAGTTGGGGAACGGGTGGCACAGGGGAAGGTGAGAAAGTGTCCTGCTCGTCGTAAAGACCTGAGCAGTGACTTATCAGGATCCCTCTGGGCGTAGCCTGTGACCCTGGGGCATTATGAAAGCACTGCTGCTGCTGAGGTGGGTTCAGCCTGAGGACAAAATGCAGTGAGGATGGGCAAAGGGGCGTGGTCAGCCAGGTCAGGGACCTCCCCTCCCCTGCAGCCCTGCTCCCTGTCAGTGGACCTGCAGGGAGACAGCTCCTTACAGGCGGAGATCTCTGATGCAGTGAGTGAGCAGGACAAGGTGAAATTCACCATTCAAACCAAGGTGAGGCTGCGTAAGGAGCAAGGGGACAGTTCGGATGGCTGACACAGGAAGTTTCAGGAGCCTGAAGGACCTGCTTCCCTAAACCTGTGCTCCCCCCTGGGAGGTGCTGGGTAGATGTCATCATAGCCTTTGGGCCCTGTTCCTCAACCTGGCTCTTGCCCCATGACCCTCTGAGAAAATGGGTATCTCGTCTACTCTTCGATCACCTTTGCCTAAGGCCCCAAGTCCTAACCATCCTCTGATTGAAATGGACAACTGAGCCCCACCTGGGGCTCACTGGGGAGGTGGGATTGGGGAGGACCAAAAGCGGGTGGCCAGGATGTCTGACGCAGGGTTTGGGAGGGGAGGAGAGACACCTCAGACAGGCTTCCCAGCATCCAGAGCTGCCTTCCTCACTTCGCCCAGACCAAGTTCTCAGGAGGGCCACAGCGTGAAGAGTTCATCTGGCTACCCGGATGCCTCGGTACACACACCGGCTTGCTGTGAGTACGGCAGGCTGAGCGTTTGGGTGAAGACAGAAGGCTGAGCCAGGCTTCTGAGAGTGGGTGATGGCCTTCTTGGCAATGAGAAGTCTCCCAGCGCTGTCCCTCCTTTGAGCAGATCCCTCCAGCTCCTCCAGAGCCAGACTTTGAGGCTTCAAGGGAAAAGCTGCAGAAGTTGGGTGAGAAGTTTGGCACTCGGGAAGAGTGCCAAAATGAAGCAGGAGCTCGAAGTGTGAGTGCCACCTCCTTTCCTTGTCTATGACAAAGCCCCAGCCCTCTCCTGGGAACCCCCTGACTACCCCCTATGAATGTCAAGGGGACCCTGACTCTGCCCCCAGGCCTGCTGAGGGGGCAACAGGCAGGATGCTGAGAACTAAGGAAGGCACTTGAGCTGCCTGCTCTGTTCTGCAGGAAGTACCTGGCTATCTTTAAGAGCCATGCTTGCCCTGGCTGGTGTGGCTCAGTGGGTTGAGTGCTGGCCTGCCAACTGAAAGGTAGCCAGTTCGATTCCTAGTCAGGGTGCATGCCTGGGTTGCGGGCCAGGTCCCCAAATTGGGATGTGTGAGAGACAACTGATCAATGTATCTCTCGCACATTGCACATTGATGTCTCTCCTTTTCTCCCTCCCTTCTCCTCTCTCTAAAAATAAATAAAATCTTTAAAAAAAAAAAGACAGTTGTGATGCATGAAGTCTTTCTGCAACGCCTGGCACCCCACCCTGTAGCAAGACTAAAACTTCCTTTTTTTACCCTCACCCGAGGACTTTTTTTTCCCTTCTGTTTTGCTTTTAGAGAGAGAGGAAGGGAGAGAGAAATTTCGATGCCAGAGAGAAGCATCTGGACTGCGAGGAGACCCGCAACCTAGGCATGTGCCCTGACCAGGAACTGAACTCACAACCTGTCAATTACAGGACAATGCTCCAACCAACGGAGCCACACTGGCCAGGGCCAAGACAAAAACTTCTTTGTCTCTTTCGGATAGAGCCAGGATGTAAGCTGGGCCAGAGCACAGGGGTCACCCCTAAGGGTAGGGGACAGGGCTCTAGGTGGGCTTAAACCTCTTGTCAGCTCTGCGAGCAGCATGTGCCTGGGGTGGGAGGTGCAGATGCCCACCCCAACATCACACTCTCCCCACATGTGCCTCGGCCGAGTGTCCCAGGAAAGAACCGGACGGAGCTCCTTGGGGGTGTCCTGAGGAATACTGTTAAGTCTATAGATGAAGCCCTCGTCCTCGGCACGTCAGGGCTCAAGGTGACCCCTGGGGCCCCTTTCTGGATTTAACCTAGGGCTTCCATCCACAGCAAAGACTGAGGCTCGGCAGCTGTGGGAGGAAAGCCACTGGTGCGGCCTGGCCCAGAGGGAAATGGTAACAGCCCTGGTAGTCTGTGGCGCCGTGTTCCTGGTGGCCTGGTGTCAGCGGGTCTTACCTTGCTCCCTTAGGAGGTGGGTGACTTTGAGCGTGGGAGAACCCTCCTGCTGGAGTAGCACACCTGCCTCTGGGTGCTTGCCTGCCGCAGACTGCGTCATGCACTCCCATGAGTGTATGCAGGGCCCAGGGGCCTCTATTCCCTGCCCCCTCTCCCTGCTGGTCCAGCTCCCCAGGAGAGAGAGAGAGAGAGAGAGAACGGAACAGAAAATATGCCATGTCTGTCCACGGCCAAAGACACCAGGGGTGGGGCTTGACATGCAATGGGCTCTGATGGAGGACTGTTCCCCAACAGGCCTGGCCGATAGTTCTATCACTATCTTGGCTGCACTGAGCAGCCTGTGTGCACAGGAAGTCAACCGGTTAAAAACAAGAGGACTCCCTCTGTCCCCTCCTGACCTTTCTCTATGCCTGTAATACTGTGTGCGCCCACAAGCGGGTCACTCCATGTAAGCCTGTCTCTCTCTGCTCTGGGTGTGAGTTGCAGAAATGCCTTGTGGGATTCAGGAAACAAGAGGGAGATTTACCCAAGGGTGGAGTAAGGGGAGGGAGGCTTTAAGTATCCCCCTAAGGCCCCTGCCCTAACTCCTCCCACCTCCTCCTGGAAGCTTCCTTAGATAGGCAGAGCTCTTTGAAAGACTAAGGGTGAGTACTGCCTTCTGTGTCGAAAGGCCACACAGGGAAAAAAGAATTCTGGGAAAGGGTAAAGCTCCAGGATAATTTTGCAATCTTCATGTTTATGATTCCCTGGACTTACCCTCCAGGCTAATTTAATAGAGAGGTAGAGTGGAGTCCTGGCCTGGGAGCTCAGTTGGTTAGAGCATCACCTTGATACACCAAGGCTGCGGATTTGATTTCCAGTCAGGGCACATTCAATAATCAACTAATGAATGCATCAACAACAAATAGATGTTTCTTTCTCTCAAAAAAAAAAAAAAAAAGAAGAAGAAGAAGAAGAAAAGAAAAGAGAAAAAGCAAGAAAAAGATTAAACATTTTTGCATTAAACCCTGGCTGGTGTGGCTCAGTGGACTGAGCCAGCCTGTAAACTGAAGTCGCCAGTTCAATTCCCAGTCAGGGCACATAGCTGGGTTGCAGGCCAGGTCCCTTGTAGAAAGTGCATGAGAGGCAACCACACATTGATGTTTCTCTCCCTCCCCCTCTCTAAAAATAAATAAAATATACTTTTTAAATTTTTTTGCATTAAAAAATAAAGATGTGGAGACAGAGATCTAACCTCAAGTGTATGTCTGGTGATGGGGGAAGAGGGAGGGAGCTGGCCTTGGTGAGGCATTTACAAGGATGTACCGCAAGCCTCTGGCAGGCTGCCCTGTGCTGCCACCGTCCTGCCCCTAGCCCACTCTTTCTGAACTCTTCTCCAGGACAGTCACTGGAGCATGCCAATCTTTCTAAAATGTTTGTCCACATCTCTTCCCTACTCAAGGCCCTTCGGTGACCCTGACCTTTCCAGAAACTGCCCAAGACACAAAGCAGAAAGTCTTTGTGCGTTTTAGGCCTTTTGTGATCTGGCCACTGCCGCTCAAGTGCCCCCACTGAACTTCTGGTTCCTTGAGCATATACCAAGCTTGCGGACGTACAAAGCCTTCAGTTGCTAATTCTTACTCAACCCCCAAGGTCTAAATCAGATACAATCTCCTCTGTGAAGCCTTCCCTGGCCTGCTCCCCTGAACATCAGGGTTTGATCTAGAGTGGTTATCTAGCGATGCTGGATAGATGAGCAGCAGTCCCCCGAAACCATAGCTGCTCCTCAGCAAGTTCCCTCCCCAGCCCCCACCTTCCTGATTCAGAAGCTGGAGGGCCAAGTGACCCCAGATGAGGATCTAAGGCTCTCAGACATGTGGACATACTACATGAGAGACTCACAGGCAGCCAAGCTGACAGGTCGCCCTAGAGCAGACCTCAGGGCTAGAAGCCAGTGGGACTGGAGCAACCAAGGAGGGGTGGGCAACGGTGATCCTGCGTCCCTGCTGCCCTCAGGACCTGCCATACTGGCGGCTGCGGGCCCCGGCCAACTATGAGAATGCCAGCAAGGCTTTGGATAAGGCAAGTACCAGCGACCGAGAAATGCGGATTGCCAGAGCCACCAGCGACTGCGCTGCCAACGCTTTGAATGCCTCTCTGACTCAGACAAGCAGGGTGAGCCCTGTGGCCCTGGAGCCCCAGGCACTGGGCTGCCTACCCTGCCAGGGTTCCCATTCCTGCCCCCGCTCCTCTCCAGAACTCATGGACCTCAAGTCCTGCCACGCCTCCCCTTTCTGCAAGAACCTCAAGCTGGGAGAGCTGGAGCTCCAAGGTGCCAGGGTGAGCCCTCCAGCTTCACTGACCCTTCTCGCCACCTCCCCTCCTCCCACCCGCCTAGGTTCTTTCCAAGTGTCTGAGGGTGTGTTGCTGTGAAGAGGGTCAGGCAGCTGTGAGCAGTCCCAGCTGAGGCTCACTCAGGGCCATGTTTCCCCATCTCGGGCCAGTACCCTGCCCTCATCAACAGTAGTAAGCCCTCAATAAATGGCAGGTGTTACTGCTGCAGTTAGGGATGAGGAGAGAGGGGACAGTTATCTGGGGTACCTGAAGAGTGGCACCCTGTCTCAGGGAGCATGGTGGCACAGGCTGGGGACACCTCCTCCTCAGGCTAACACCTTGCTTCTCCCGGAACACCTTTTCACCCTCAAGGGGGAGCCTAAGAGCAGCCAGAGGCTGCTCTGGGACATTAAATGAGTCTCCCAGGCCCCACCCCAGCAAGATGCCTCTTTCCTCACCCACAGCGGCCACTAGTCATGCCCATGACCTCCCAGGGCAAGCCCAAGTCCCACCCCCACCCCAAGGTGCCAGGCCCTGCAAGAGGGTAAGGCAGCGTGGGCAACATACTTGGCCACAGGTAAGCAGGGCCCCGGCCTGGAGGAGCCCAGGGGCTGGAAAACAGCCTTCACCCACCTTCTAGCCTGAGTTGTTGTCCCCAGCCTGTCTGTCCACAAAGAGCCTGATTTTGTTACAAGGAGGCCTGCTTTGTCCTCTTTCTGGGCCTGCCAGGCACACCCTACTAGGGCTGAGACCAGATCCTGGGGGAAGAAAGGATTCCCACAGCATCCTCACCCACTTTCCGGAGTACCAGCTGACTCCCCATGGGAAGGTGCAAGACCCAGTGCTTGCAACCCAGGAAGTCTTCAAAGCGTAGACCACAAAGACCAATCCCAGGTTCTCCGTACCCATTTCCTAGTAAAATGGAACTACCCTTTCCTGCCTGCTAGATACTGGCAAGCTCCAAGGCACTAAGCAACCAGCTCTAACTTGAGGCTCTTCCACCTCAGTTGATTGGGATTGAGGGTGGGGGCCCGACTTCTGGGATACCTTTACGTGCTGGGCAGGTTAAAGCCCAAAGTACAGGCTGGAGAGAGCCTGCTGCAGTGCTGGCAAAGGGCTTGAGGCTCTAGCCAACACCTCCTTGGTTAAACAGAGGACGGTGGAACCCAAGACACCTGGGTCTGAAGTCCTGGGCTCCACCCAGCTAGCCGCACCCTCGGCTACAGCCACACTGTGGCAGGCCAAAGGCTCACCTTGGCTCCTGACTCACAGCAGCCACCGAACCCAGCCCTCATAAATGAGTCAGCCACCCCGGCAAGAAAGTAAAAACCAATAAAGAACCTTGAAGGTAGAGAAAGTCGCTCAAGAGATAAGCTGCGGCTTGCAATCTCACAGCCCCCATCCAGGAAGGGGCAGGGTATCAATAAGAAGGGGCCTCACTGCCCTGTTGCCCACCAGTGTCAAGGCTACAGAAGCAAGCAATTCAGGCACTAAACCCCTTCTGTTAGGGGGGACCCCTGCAGATACACCCCAACTACCTCCTAAGTAGCCAGACTAGTGCCAACTGTGGCACCACCTGTAGAGTAAGTGGCAACTGTCAGAAGGGAGTCTTGGCCCCTCACTGGGGCCAGATAAGGGTATGGGGGTAACAGAGAGAGGAGACACTTCATTCCCCCACAAGGTACCCTGGGCCCCAATCCTGACACAAACATCTTATTAAGTGAGACTTTTTATTATTGTTTTTTCTTTTTTAATTGAAGGTCCCTTACTGGTCCCGCTTCTGTGAGTGGCCACGACCAGGTGGAAAAGGGGAGGAGAACCAGGTGGCAAGGGGGGGTCATCTCCACAACATTCCATTTATACACAGAACTAAACAGACAAGCACAGAGTCACTATTGCGGTTAGAAGTTGGCAGCATGGGAAAGGGGAGGAACAGGTGGGGAGTTGGGGTGTCGTTAAAAAAAATACAGGCCCCTCCCAAACTGGGGTGCCTGGGGGGGAACTTGGTCTGCTTCAACCCAAGAGAAATCAGAAGATCAAAAGCGTTTGGGAAGGCCAGAACCGTCAGGGGTGAAGGGGGGGAGGAAGGTCCAGGGGGTGGGGGGCTGTTTGGCAACTGGGTGAAGGGATTGCCCTCCCCCTGCTGGGATCCCCCCAGCCCCTCCGGTCTGGCAGGAAGGGGGCAGCCTGCAACCCCCACAGGCAGGTCTTGGGCTGCCAGATGCTCCAGGCAGGGGGCTGGAGGGGGCTCACAAAGGCTTGCCCTCCAGGGAGATGACAGCACTGCCCCCCAGCTTCTCTGCCAGAGTGCAGCGGTCCTTGACCTCCTCGTAGCAGTTTGCTTGTAATTCATGCTTGATCCCTGTGGGGAAGAAGGGGGAGTATCTGTGAACAGGAAGTACTGGGGTGGTGGTTGAGGGCACTGCGTTTATGGCTGGGAAGAAGCCAATCAGAACAGAAGAAAGGGACATGGTTACCTTCCAAGGAACCTCCTCTGCCATGCCAGTCACCCCACCCTGCAGCCAAGGCCTGAGCAGAAGTGCATGTGGCACAATTACTGGCCCTTACCTGTCAGCTTCTTCTTGATGGCATCCTTGGAGCTGGCATAGATCATTTTGCTCTTAAGGGGTGCAGACTCAGGAGCCCTGGAAGGAAATAGAGAACTTGAAGCAAAGCCTCCTCCAAGCCTAAGAAGTGTCCTCAAGCTATGGATGACTTGGAGAAACATTTGAGCTGGCCCCCAGCATGTGAGCTTTTATCAAGTTCCTCATTGACAAGTGTTCTGTTACAGTGCCCCCCCCTTCTGGTTAATTAGGAGCCACAGAGTTCCCATCCTGAGAAAGGGGTGGGGCAGAGCTAGGACAAGTGACTGCATAAGGAGCTCACCAGAAGATAAACACCAGGTCCTCCTTCTTGCTCTCCTTGGTCTCGTAGGTTGCATCATAGAGGGCGTAGCGGCAGTCTTTGTCCGGCAGCATCTTGACAAAGGTGGCATAGGGGTCGTCTACAGTCTGGCCCACGTCACCTACCAGGATCTCCTTGCCCTCCTCCAGAATGATGTTCTTCTTGTCTTCACTCAGGCAGAAGAGCACCGCCTTCTTGCGCTTCTTCACCTCCTCTGGTGTGGAGGACTTACGCACCTTCATGTCATTGAACACTTTGATGACTCCATCAGAGACAGCCACACCAGAGGCCTGGGGGACAAGCCAAATAAACCTCATAAAGAAAAGGTTTCTGGACGCCACCTGAAGTCCCTCCTTTGCTTGCTTATAAGTTCTGTCTGGATGCCAAAATAGTATAGACCTCAGCCCCAAAAAGGTCATTAATCCTCTTCCCAAAATAAGTGACCCTATTTTCCCATCCAAGTCACTGTCAATGAACCAGATGGGACATAACTCCAGAACGGCAGCCATGGAATAGACCTCTGATCACCTAATTCAACATCGTCCCTCCTCACCGTGACATCGTCCAGGCTCAAAATGAAAGACCTGTGAGGAGCACAGCCCTGGCTGCGATGCAAGCTCGGAATTAAGAGACTGCACAGGCTACTAACTCGTTCCTACTCACAGTACTCAATCTCAGCTTTTGGCTAAACATTCACTGACTCAGAACTTCAGACAGGGGAAGGGGGACACAGACACCCACATCAATCATCTCTTGTAAAAAGAACCAGGACCCCACACAATGCTTAATGGGACACCAGAAATGTTTAACAGTTCTAGTAAGTTCATCAGAACTGCTCAATGCAGTTATTACACAAGTTATTCTCTTCTCTGCTGGGGTCTTCCTCAACCAAGACAAAAATTACAACCTCTAATTATGGCCCTACCCGACAACTCCCTGTTATCTGGAATAAATATAGGCCCCAGAAATCGCTAATAGAAATAAACAGGCCAAAGTCAACTGCCCAAGGCCCTTGAGTACCTTCTAAACTTTTACCCTATTACGGGTCGGGTTGGGGGACACCCGGAAATGCAGCTACTGTCCACAGTGAAATCTGTCTCGCCCCCCCTCCCGGAACTGCAGAGGAAGCCAGCCACGTGACTCAGCCGCTTCCGGAGTAGGCGGGGAAAGAGGATCAGCTCGGATCGGCCTCCTTTCCCGGACAAACCCCTACCCAGAGGCAGCAGCATCTCCAAGGCCTCTCCCCCAAGGAATGCCCTTTACCGGCCGGCACATCAGCCCCTTGGGCCGCGGGCCGGAGCCTGGGCACAGTACACGACCTTCCGTACTCGCAGCCCTCGGACCGAACACAGGGGGCGGGGTGGTTTCCGGGCGGTGCCCGCCTGGGTCACTTCCCTAAACGCGGCTCCACCCTCAGGCCCCATCCGGGAAAGCCGAAGGCCCCGCTCAGCTAGGCCTTTGGGCCGAGCGACCAGGCCTGAATGTGTGCGCACGCGCCGATCCACAGCGCCGTTCCAGCCTTTGCCGAGTATACAGAGAGCACAACTCACTTTATGGGCTCACTCGCTTCCGAAGCAGGGCCGTGGCCTCTGCGGTGTTCGCTGTATGTCGCGAGGTGCAAGCCCCCGATTCCAGGTTCCCGCGCCCGGACCCCGCCGCCTCCGCCCCTCCTGGGCGCAGGCATCCCTACCACCTGCTCTCGAGACAGACCCGCCTGCCGAGGGAGGGTGACGCGGAGACAGGAACAGCCCTTGGGTGGGGCGCGCGTGCCAAGACCGCTCGCGCGCTTTTCCTTTGCCGCCCCCGGGCCGAGTAAGGATACCGCCAGCTCCCACCGAGCGCGCGTTCCCGGGAACCGACTCACTCAGCCCAACTGTGGCGCGCGACATTGGTTACTCTGCGAGAGGCGGGCGCGCGCGTGCCCCGGACCCCTCCCCCACGGCCGGTGTCGCGCGGGCGCACCAGCGGGGTGGGGGAGGGGAAGAAAGCCCAGGGGGCGCGCGAGCGACGTTCAAACCGGCCCTCCCCGGCGCCCGCGGGCGCGCACGCGCGTCCCAGTGCCGACCGCCCCTCAGCACGAGACCCTTATCCAGCTCCGGGCGCTGGGGGAGGGGGTGTCGACGTCGCTACCCTTTTCCCTCCCGCGAGCGCAGGCGACTGACTCGCAGCCGCCTCCCCTCGGGCATCGTGGCCTGGAGCTCACCATGTTTCCGGAAGCGAAAAGGAGACAGCGAGAAGAGCCTGAGAAGACAAGAGCCGCTGCAGCTGCTGCCGGGATCCGACTGAACGCGGCCTCTCCCGGCCCCTTCCGTTTAGTATGAGCCGCACAATGAGGGGCGGGGCGGGCTTCCGGCGCTCCTCCCGCGGGTCGACGGGTAATGAAGTCCGAGGGTACTGCGCCGCCTTACAGCTCGCTGGGTTACAGCCTTTTTCGTCAACCGGCCACATTGCATACTGGGAAGTGTAGTTTGGGAGAGGCGGGGTTATTGCACGGAGCGTGAGACCATTGGTCG